TATTGTAAAGCGCTGAGCAAACTGTAGGCGCTATATAAATCCTGTATAATAATAATAATAATAACATGGAGGAACCTAGAGGTGATTGCAATCATCTTCTAGAGCTTACCAGGAGCCAAAAAACCGGGGGATCTCTATTATGAAGGCACCAACTTCAACTCAGGTGTTAGTGCTTTGGCCAGCTTCATCTTGCCCCCCACCACTGATTTTAAAAAAAGCCACCTATCACACCGCTAGACCAACCCTCAGAAGTGGGAGGGGGGACCTAAAAAGCCAACTTCCAAGCTGAAGCAGATATTTGCGCATTGGAGCGCCATGAATTTCAGGGCTCCCTGGGTGCTTTAGAAAATATATTAAACAATTGTTTTACTGCTTTACTGCAGTGCTGGACCACTAAAGGCATGGATAGATGCTAGCTGGTTCAACTGTTCACCGCCTCATCGACTTCCGCTGCAAAACCATTACGATAGTATTTAGTTCAGGTCCACTCTCTGCAGCCATTTCAAAACATGGGAATCAAACATGAAGAATAAAACCCCGTTAAAGAAGGCCAGAGAGGTGGGGGGAGCTGGAAACTAGAGCTCCTACTGTATATTTCACCCCATGAGATATGTAAATGACTGGAAAGGATATGTGAAGCAGCCCACACACTTAGGGCTACCATCCCAGAACCATTGTTCCTCCATGGAAGTCTCCATGCTTCCTAGCTTTAAATGGACTTGAGAGTTCCATTAAGTCCTGCTGCTTTAGGATCCAGTTAACAGCTATTAATAAAGGAGGCTTTCTATACAATAGTTCTATTTGGCCATTGTCACCCTGTATCTGGCCATTGTCACCCTGTATCTGGCCATTGTCACCCTGTATCTGGCCATTGTCACCCTGTATCTGGCCATTGTCACCCTGTATCTGGCCATTGTCACCCTGTATCTGGCCAGTGTTCAACAATTCATTTTCTCCCTTCTCTATTGCTCATCAGCTCTTTGTGGCCCTGACCTGCCAGCTATGGTGAACAGCACTGCCAGAGACAGATTAGATGCTAGGGACCTTGCTGCCAAACAACTAACCGCAATGCCCAATCTGACATTACACCTGGCAGTTAGAAGCATAGTAATCAGGCTGAGCAATCTGCAGTGGAAAGCTGCTCAGGCTGTCGCTGGGCAGTTTCGTTACTGCACAGAGCTATTTCCTCTCTGAGATGTTTTCTGCTCATAATAAACACATACTTAACACCACAGTTAATCGTAGGCGATTAGTATGAGCAGGAAACATCTCAGAGAGGAAACAGAAGCTCTAGTGTTCAGGCAGTGATATGTGAACATGTGTCTAATCATATAAAGCGGAACATAAAATGTTGCATTTCCCATCACTAAATAAAAACCTGACAGCGGTTTCACTTCCCCCAGTCTATGCAAAAGCCTGGCTTTAAAGTAAAACTTTTTTCCGATTTGGAAAGAGTGGTGGGGGGTTAGAATCACAGTCTTCTTTTTATTGCTGCTGTGTTCCTATTAGGGACATTCACTTTCTCGATTTGTCCTGATCACCCCTGCAATGGGAACTAAAGTAGTAGAAAAGAGGAGGAGGGAGGAGGAGGAGGAGGAGGAGGAGGAGGAGGAAAGAAGAAGAAGAAGAAGAAGGAGGAGGAAGAAGAAGAAGAAGGAAGAGAAGGAGGAGGAGGAGGAGGAGGAGGAGGAAGGAGGAGGAGGAGGGAGGAGGAAGGAGGAGGAGGAGGAAGGAGGAGGAAGGAGAAGAAGAAGAAGAGGAAGAAGGAAGAGGAGGAAGGAGGAGGAAGAAGAAGAGGAGGAGGAGGAAGGAGAAGAAGAAGGAAGAGGAGAGGAGGAGGAAGGAGGAGGAGGAGGAGGAGGAGGAGGAGGAGAGGAGGGAGGGAGGAGGAAGGAGGAAGGAGGAAGGAGGAGGAGGAGGAGGAGGAGGAGGAGGAGGAGGAGGAGGAAGAAGAAGAAGGAGGAGGAGGAGGAGGAAGGAGGAGGAGGGAGGAGGAGGGAGGAGGAGGGAGGAGGAGGAGGAGGAAGGAGGAGGAAGGAGAAGAAGAAGAAGGAGGAAGAAGGAGGAGGAGGAGGAGGAGGTAGAGGAGGAGGAGGAAGGAGGAGGAAGGAGGAGGAGGAGGAGGAGGAGGAGGAAGGAGGGAGGAGGAGGAGGAGGAGGGAGGAGGGAGGAGGAGGAAGGAGGGAGGAGGAGGAGGAGGAGGAGGAAGGAGGAGGAGGAAGGAGGAGGAGGAAGGAGGGAGGAAGGAGGAGGGAGGAGGAGGAGGAAGGAGGGAGGAGGGAGGGGGAGGGGAGGAGGGAGGAGGGAGGAGGAGGAAGAAGAAGAAGAAGAAGAAGAAGGAGGAGAAGGAGGAAGAAGAAGAAGGAAGAGGAGGAGGAAGAAGAAGGAGGAGAGGAGGAAGAGGAGGAGGAGGAGGAAGAAGAGGAGGAGGAGGAAAAAGAGGAGGAAAAAGAGGAGGAGGAAGAAGAGGAGGAGGAGGAAGAAGAGGAGGAAGAGGAAGAAGAGGAGGAGGAGGAAGAAGAGGAGGAGGAGGAAGAAGAGGAGAGGAGGAGGAAGAGAGGAAAGAGGGAAGAGGGAAGAGGGAGGAGGGAAGAGGGAAGAGGGAAGAGGGGGGAAGGGAAGAGGGAGGAGGGAAGAGGGAGGAGGGAAGAGGGAAGAGGGAGAGGAGGGAAGAGGGAAGAGGGGAGGGAGGGAAGAGGGAGGAGGGAAGAGGGAGGAGGGAAGAGGGAGGAGGGAAGAGGGAGGAGGGAGGGAGGGAAGAGGAGGAAGAAAAAGAGGAAGAGGAGGAGATGTTTTAACCCTCCCCTACCAAAACTGAAAAACAAAAAAAGTTTGGGCTTTAAGCAAGGTCAGTTCCCAGACAGATCCCTGCATCAACACAATCAATGTGTGATGCAGGGATCTCTCACGTTGTGCTATTGTATTCTGACAGGGGGACCCCCCCCCCCATCAGAATACACTGATCAGTGCTGCAGCCATTGTTTGAATGCTTGTTTTTCCATCATGACTGTTGGAGAGAAACCTTTCCTTAGACCGCTGTACGCGCAGACTGAAATTTACCCCCAGTTCACATATCTGCGGCCGTGGGGGCCGCATTTTGCGTGTTCATGAAAGCCCATTGATTTGAATGGACTCTTGTGCCCCGTAGGGAAGAAGTCCCTGCACTTCTGAAAACGCAGCCCGCACAGGAACCTCGATTCCCAGTACAGCTGTGTTTTCCAGTGCGGGCGGCGTGCCATTAGAACAAATGGCACCCGCCAGCGGGTCCGCATTCCTCTGTGCGGGTGGTGCGGCAGCGCGGATATTCATGCGGATCCGCACCACCTGCACAGATGTGAATCTAGCCTTAGCCGGTTCCTGTTCAAACAGCTGATTTTTGGGCCCAGCTTTAGAAAAACTTTAATGAAACGACAAACTGAAATTCTGTTAAGTTGCTATATTTTTGTTATATTATATAGTGTAGAGAGGCTGCATCGCCACACTAGTTGATAAAATGTTGCAGAGGAAAAGAAACACTCCAATACAAAATGGGAATCTACAACTAGTAGGTTGCGCATGCTCAATAACAACCAATCAGAGGCAGCCACATGATGTAACTGGAAAGGGGTTCATTGGGAAATGCAGTCCAGGAAAGGATTATGGAACTACCCTTCAGGAAAAAAAAATGCATTCAGACACAGGGATGCGGGTAAGAAATATGATTTTTGATCCATAAAAGGCTATTCAGGGTATGTTGATATGCATGTGTCTATAAGTACAGGAAAATGATGCTTTGCTTAAAGCGACACTGAGCTCCCTGCAAGGAAAAAGCATTTACATGGCTCTCCTGCAATCACTGTAGTAATAAGAAAAGTCACATGCAGAAGAATCTTCAGAACCTGAAATTTTTGGGAATGTAGATTTCCAGGTCCTATGCTGCACTTTGACGCTCCTGTCACAGCAGATTGAATCCCTGAGAGCATGGGCAGGGTACCACGAATCCAAAGTGCCAATACTAGGTGTCGTCCTAGACTCCAATCTATCCTTCCAGCCCCATGTCCAATCGCAGACAAATTCATGCAGACTCCACCTCCGCAACATCTCCAAAATACACCCATTCCTAACCCCAGAAACTACAAAGCAACTCATTCACTCCCTCATTATATCACAACTTGACTACTGTAACTCCCTCCTCGCCGGCCTACCTCAACACAGGCTATCCCTGCTTCAGTCTATCCTGAATTCTGCGGTCAGACTCATCCACCTCACCAACCGCTTCGTATCCGCCACCCCCCTCTGCCAATCCCTCCACTGGCTTTCGATTGCCCAACGCATAAAATTCAATTTATTAACATTGACGGTCAAAGCTGTTCATAACACTGCCCCAAGCTACCTCACCGACGTGATATCCATCTACCACCCAAAACGTACTCTCCGCTCCTCACAAGACCTCCTACTCTCTAGTTCCCTGGTCTCTTCCTCCCATGCCCATCTCCAGGGCTTCCCCCATCCTCTGGAACTCACTATCCCAATCCATCAGATTATCACCTACCTCCTCACCTTTAGGCGCACCCTGAAAATCCACCTCTTCAGGGAAGCCTACCCCGCCCTCACCTAATTGCCCATCTCCTCCGCTCTTCCCACCACTCCATCCCCCACAGCTATTTCCTCCTGTACCACTCTCCCCTCCCTCCTAGATTGTAAGCTCCAAGGAGCAGGGCCCTCGAACCCCTCATGTATTGTATTGTTACTGTATTGTCTCATGTTCTGTCCCCCACTATAATGTACAGCGCTGAGCAAACTGTTGGCGCTATATAAATACTGTATAATAATAATAATTCCTTGATTCTACAGCAGGTCACTTCCCCTTACTACTGTAATGAACAGACGTGAAAGTAGGAAAGGGTAGTATCTAAATTCTTCTTTGCAGGGAGCATTGAGTTTAGGTTTTAGGGATAGAGTCACTTCAGGGAGGTTCTCTGCACACACGCACACACTGTACATGCCACTGTTGAACTCACTTGGTGTGAGAAGGCCAGTCCCATTGTCAGGACCCTGTGAGAGTCTGTCACCACAGTATTAGCGGTCTGACCCTGTGCCTTGCTGAAAGTAAACACACACTGCAAGCCACAGACAGAGAGACAGAGAGAGAAAGAGAGAGATGGAAGAAAAGAAAGATATGAATGCAGGTACAGGAATGCCCTAATCTCTATAGACAGCTGATGAAAAAAAAATAAAAAATTCCACATTAAAAAGCAATAACCTACTTCTGCACTCTCCCCGTTCATCACCAGACACGAGCTTCACACAGCAGGTCCACAGTCAGAGCAATAGCTCATAGTGGATCTCTGCTTCGCTGAGCATGGTTTGGATTTGCATTAGGGAGGCACAAGATGGTGTGTGCTGCATATCACAGGAAGAAGAGACAAGCTCACCTGCGATGGTGGGGAAGTAGAAAAGGACGTGGTGCAGACATCCTGGGAATCTTCCACAGATGGGTATACGGTGCCCTGCTCCTCAGACCCCCTGTTAGCAAATATTAAAAAAAAAAAAAAAAATGCACAAAGCAATTAAATTGGATTGGTTAAAAGCAAAGACCTGTGATTAGTTCAGTGAATGGAAAATAAAATTATAACATTTCTAACATTAATGTTCAAAACACATACAGCAGTATAGGTCTGCCTGTCTGAGGCTTCTGTATTTTTTCCCAGGTATAGCTGTAATCCCCCCCTATGATGCCTTGCTGAATATTTGTTTTGGGAACACCTGCTGCTGAGTCAGGTCAGGTCAGTAGGCAGGCCTGGTGTTCCCAAACCCGCCCATAAACTTTTTAGGCTCTTTGTGCATGGACTTCTGATCAGGTCAGAACTGCTTTTCTCTACTTACAAGTTAATGGGTATGCAAAAGAAGCTTGATGCAGTTTACAAGGTCAACAGCGGGTCTGAATAAAAATCAAACTCATTTGCAAGCTGAAAGTCCCCTAAATTATGCCATGTTTTCCTCATCTACACCAGCCCTTGTGTCTCCCAAAGAGTGACTGAGAGATTCAGAGCACCAAATCATGTGACCAACAGACTCAGTGCTGCATATGAGGATCCTGCAGAACCAAAGCATAAATGGGCTACATAGGTCTGAGATTTAAAGGAAGCCGACCGGCTGTTCTTTCTAATGCATGATCCCAAATAATTCCAGGTAACAGGTGAAAGCAGAGAAATGCCTACACTAGGCAGAGATCATTGCAAATAAACAAAAACATCCATTTGACACAACCGAGATTAAAAAAAAAAAAAAAAAAAAAAAAAAGGGAAGGAAGAAGGAGTACATGCCCATTTTCCCATGTATGAACCTTTAAAAACTCTGCAATAACAAAAAATACTTTCTGATGTGCAAGAAATCCATTGAGCGCCTACCTTCCTGTAGGGAGCTGACAGGGCTGCCTCTGCTGCACTGAAGTGTCAATCAGTGCAGTCAGTCCTGCCGGAGTTCTTTTGTCCTGGACTACAGAACACATTTTCTGTATTCCCATATAAGAGATATAGGCAGGGACGAAAAACACCGCATGGGATTTCAATGCGGCATGGTGTTTCCAGCTCCGGCAGAATGTTAGGAACACACTGGATTTCTGGCCCGATATATCGAAAAGACAACCAGTCCATTTCTGGAGTACATTTAACCTAATATTTAGTTACAAACCAAAATCATTTTTCCAAATACACACCATTGTTCTTCATTAGGCTTTGAGCACACTGGGCACTGGGGGCATGAAGCTCCAGTGTTTATGTACAGGTATATGGCACAGGCACATTGTCCAGCCCCGCTGCCAGCAGCTTGTCACACATGAGAGGCCGGCAGCGGCTGCGGATGGATAGCGCACCGAGCGGTTTTTTTTACATTCAGTGCAATATGCACTTACCTTGTACACCTATTTTTTCCATTAAAATGGACTCCAGGAAAGGGCAGTCCATTTAACAACATTTCAAAAGCAGTACAAAAGCTGGTTCAGATGTGAGAACAGCCCAGTGAGGAAAATGATGATCCCACAATACTTCAGGTGAGGAACCGGAATTTTGTATTCAAAAGCCCAACTTCAGCCAAAACTGTGAAACTCTGTTTTAGATAGCATGGGGGAAAATATTAAAATTTTGGTCAGGATTTTACTGCTGGCTATGACCCCAATGGGGAGATCTTCTCCTTTCTGTCTCTGACACAAGGATGAAAAAAAAGGTGTCATTAAAAACAACAAAAAAAAAGTATTTGCCACTTTTGGAGAGAGTTTTTATACTTCAATATTTTTATTGAAAACTTGGTATACACAGAAATAGAAACAATTTCCACCTACATGGTGAAATGGTGTGCATTAACATATTCATAGAACATATAGGCACATGAAAAAAAAATATTAGTCAATGACATTATATACAGAGAACACCATTCCCACCAGGTAGCAAACCTTCCATCAGTCATTGAACAAAGGCATTGCCATAGAATTTACCAACAGTATGAAAACCAATTCAGGAAGAAAAAGGATTAAGAATAGAGAAATCAAAAGAATATATCTGGGATAAGACAGAAAACAGGGGGGGAGAAGGAGGAGGGAGGGAGGGAGAGAGCGAGGGAGGGAGAGAGCGAGGGAGCGAGGGAGGGAGAGAGGGAGCGAGCGAGAGGGAGAGGGAGGGAGGGAGCGAGGGGGGGAGCGGGAGCGAGGGAGGGAGCGAGCGAGGCGAGGGGGGAGCGAGAGGGGGGGGGAGGGAGGGAGGGAGGGAGGGGGGAGAGGAGGGGGATGGGAGGAGAGGGGAGGGAGGGGGAGGGGAGGGGAGGGAGGGAGGGGGGGAGAGAGAGAGGGAGGGAGGGGGGGAGGGAGGGAGGAGAGAAAGAGGGAGGGAGGGAGCGAAAGAGGGAATCAGGGGGGAGAGGGGAGGGGGGGAGGGGGGAGGGAGGGGGGAGAGCGGGAGGGAAGGGGAAGGGGGGGGAGACTGAGAGAGGGAGGGAGAGAGAGAGATTTTTAACACTTCCTGTCCACTGAGCCCCTGTGACAAGGTGGATGTGGATAAATTTTCCCACTGTGTACACAGGCAGCAATAACATCACGGAAGAGGTTCTAACATCCATTCTAAAACGGAAAGGTTTTGGCTGGAATTGGGCTAACAGTTTTCATGAAATATGAACCAATCACCTACAGCAGTGAAAGCAGCCATTTTTTGATAAACATTCATAATATAGCATAGTGTCAAATCACAAGAAGTCACTGACATCACAAAGGCCCAGTAAAGCTCCCAGTAAAAGGGATTAGCATGATGCATGGCCCAGGACATAAAAGGTCTTCCTCAGTGATATGAAGACTGTATTTATGAGCATATAGTATGCTTGCTGGAGTTTTGTGCATAAAAAAATACAATATAAAGAGGCCTAGTCATTTTGCAGTAGACATATTATTACTGGGAAGAAGAAAGATGGTAATTATAGATGCAGTGCCTACCATTTTATATAAAAAAAAGGTTTTAGTATATTTTTGAAGTGTGACATTTACATCTTGCCTCATTAAAAATAAAAAAAATAAATAAAAAGTAGCTGGAAAATCTAAACACTTCTCTACTGCAGAACAGCAGGAGTGCCCTAATCAGATCCCTCATTGATCAGCTATTTAATCAGTCAAAAGCTACCAGCACTGAAAGGAACCTTTCCTTTTACCTTGAGCTACACAACCCGTTTTTAGAGACCAGCAAGGCAGTTTGTGATGTGCAGGTGTAAGTCAGGTTTGTAAATATTGATATAAAAATGGGTGCAGCACTAAAAATCAATATGCAAATGAATATAAAGTGCTGATCATAACCAATAAAGTGACATATGTTTTATGACATCTTCAAACACAGCAAATAAAGTGCACAAAATGAAAACCACAAGCAGTGGTTAAAGTGATAAGTAAATGTCCAAAATGATTGAACGTGAGGATCATAGGATCTCCAAGAAGTGGTCAATCAATATCCGGAGTGGTAGATGGGGTGACCAGTATGAAGTAAATTGCGCACTTACCAGAAGCGCGACTTAATCACGCATTTGAGATAAGCTATATCATCAGGTCAGCCATAGCATCCACTCTGGAGATGGTCAGATTCCAGGCTTGTAAATATATTGAGAAGCAAAAGGGACTTTGAGGAAAGCCAAGAAAAGCCAGGGATTTCTCTAGCAGTGGTAGTCTCAAAGCTGCTGGCACATGCTGGTATTAAAAAAAAAAAAAAAAAAGTCTGTAGGAGTTCTAAGTAGGCCAGTATCTCTGTGAGAATGAGAACCCCTTTAAGGCCATCCCTTGCTTCTGTGCAAGACTAGCCTAGCAAATTAACCAAAAAGAGATGCGATATGCACAAAATAGTCTCCTGACATGCTGCAGGTAATTCACAGAACTACTTCAGGGTCCTCTGCAGATGCCCTGTTGGACTAAATGTACAGTCAGTCTGGCTAAAAAAAAAAAAAAACCCCCCATAAAAGTCAATTTAATTCGACCATTAAAAAAAAAAAAAAAAAAAATAAATAAAGTTATAATCCTATATCCACAGTTGATCCAGAGGAGGGGAAAAAACCCAGCAAAGCGTGATCCAACGTATGTAAGGTAGAGACATAGCGCTGACATCATGCTACTACTGGATGCTGTGCTGCTGCTTTTTATACATGGACTTATTTATTTATTTCAGGTACTTATATAGCGCCGTCAATTTACACAGCACTTTACATATATATTGTACATTCACATCAGTCCCTAACCCTCAAGGGGCGTACAATCTAAGGTCCCTAACTCACATTCATATACAAGGGCCAATTTAGACAGGATCCAATTAACCTACCAGCATGTCTTTGGAGTGTGAAAGGAAACCGGAGTACCCGGAGGAAACCCACGCAGGCACAGGGAGAACATGCAAACTCCAGGCAGGAGGTGCCGTGGTTGGGATTCGAAGCAACGACCCGAGTACTGCCAGGTGGAAGTGCTAACCATTTAGCCACTGTGCTGCTGACTTATTATGTAATTGATGCCTGCTGGCACTCTGAAATAAATACTACACTATGAGCATATTTAAGTGGCTTGTGTGGTGAACTTTTTCCTTTGGTAGAGTGCGGTGTGAATTAATGGCACCTCAAAAAAGGGATATCATCCTCGGTGTTAATCGATGACGGAGGTGATTGCAGTGATGACCAAATTTCCTTGATGTGATTACCTGAGCGTTTTGTGCTGTAGACCTTGCAGCAAATCTTTCTGGTGAGTGAGCATTCACCGACCAGTAGACACAAATCCAAAGCCAGATCAAAAGGCGGTCAATCGAACAATGTGACGAAAGTATAATGTACATCCAACACTGATCAAAGGTTGTGCGGCTCAAACACGAAGCTGGGAAAGCTTGATAAACACTGTAGTAGAGAACAAAAAAAAAAAAGCACACCAACCTTGCGCATTACCTCAGTAGGCTATTAATAAGGGACCCCTTCGAAACGCGTCAGCTTGACCAAGAGAGTATCTCCCTTCCTGATGGGATTTGCACGTGTCTCCCAACCCTTTAATTTGCTTTTTGATGTTACATGCCTTTTATATTGCTATTCTTGAGAGTATATTTCTTAATAAATGTATTAATTGTCTACTGAGGTAATACGGAAGGTTGGTGCGCTTTGTTTTTTTGTTCTCTACTACAGAGTGAGCATTCACTTCAGAGTGTTGTGTGGACATACACAACCCTGGATACCGATCTGACACGATGGTGGAAGACACAATTTTAGCACATGAACTTTATGGATGTATTTGATCATTACATTTAAGTTTGGTATATATTTACTTGGAATGTTGCTTAATTATGTTGCACTATTTTTGATCTTCATCTTTCCCCTGGATGTGATAACCTGAGCATTTTGTGCTGTAGATCTTGAAGCAAATCTTCCTGGTAAGTGAGCATTCACTCAAGGATGTGGTGTGAACACACACAGGAAGATTTGATACCGATCTAATACAGTGGCGGAAGACACAGTTTTTAAACACATGAACTTTAATAATTGCACTTATATTTGATATATATTTTTAATTTGGAATAGTGCCGAATTATATTGCATTATTCTTGGCACTGCACATTTGTTTTTTTATCTCTAACGACCAAATTTCTCTCAGTACAGGATACTTTTAAATGTCACGCTTCAAAAATAACACTGCCAGAATATGTAAATGAATGCCTCCTGTTCCAAGGCATGGTGGTTTTCTGTGGGATCTTTGTAGGCAAGGCCTTTAGGCTGGGGGACCATTATGCTTGTAGGTGATCCGTGTGCATGCTACCTGTGTCCTCACCTGTAGTTGCAGGGATGCAAGTGTGAGGTGCTGGGGAAAGGTCGGTCAACAAAGTGATCAATAATAATCCCCATGATGGGTTGAGTCCTCTCAAACTGCCTGAAATGCAATAAACACATTGATATATTATTGAGCTGCCTTGCCCCGCAGATCACCCAATCCCACCAGGACAGGAGACAGGTGGGGAAAGTGCATGTGACAAAAGGTAGCAGGCAAGAGCGTGCAGGAAACACTATGGAGGATTGTTAGCCCCTTTGTCATGTGACACTGCTCTGGGCTGATCCATAGGAGGATGTGAGTGTATACCAAGAACAATACCGATCTTTTGTTAAGTGACCTCATACCAGACGAATGACCAGGCTTACCGTGTAGACATAAAAGCCAGATTAGTTCTGTAGGCACAGGTCAGGGTAAGTGTCCCTATAGGGGTCCCCACTGTTCCAACACGTACCGCCTGGAAACCTGGGGGGGGGAAAAAAAAAAAAAAAAAAAAAAAAGTATGAGGTCGACATAATTAGATATTATCTAAAGATCTAGGCACACAAGTGTTAGTGCCTCCTGTCTCTGTCCTCTATTATTTCTAGAGTCAAGTGCAAAAACGATTTAGAAGCCCTCGTAGATACCAGTGTTTTCCAGATACTATTAGAACCTTTTATTTTCTCAGTTTTAGGATGAAATGGATAAAATTAAAGAAGGAATGCATATCACAAATCTATTTATAGATTTGGACAAACAAGGACTTTGCAAATATACTAGTGTACATCTACCCATTCATGTGATTTGGAGAGGTGTCATCCAGGGCCCAGCCTCTTGAAATCTTTTGTTTACTTGCAGCCATGTTTTAAACCTCCCTCACCTGTAGGATGCCCTACACAATTAATGAAGGCAGGTATTGAACTGGTAAAGGCCAAAATATCATGGTAAACAAAAAACGTTTTGCTATGCTGAATGAAAAAAGTTATGTTGTTTGAAAAAAAACGTGGAAACCCTTGAGATAACTTATTTTATCTGGTCGAAAACGGACAAACCTTGTGCCTTGGACTCACGGAGCAGAGTCGGGTTAGAATAATTTATAAATAGAACAAGTGAGCGCTAAAAGACAAGAATATAGCACCAAAGGATACCAAATAACCTCTAAGACATACATATATACACACACATTATTTATATATACACACACACACATACACACTATATATATATATATATATACAGTCATGGCCGCCGAAATTGTTGGCACCCTTGATATTTCTCCAGGAAATCATGTATTTCTCACGAAACGTATTGCATTAACACATGTTTTGCTATACACATGTTTATTCCCTTTGTGTGTATTGGGACAAAACAAAAAAAGGGAGGAAAAAAGCAAATTCGACATAATGTCACACAAACCTCCAAAAATGGGCTGGACAAAAGTATTGGCACCCTTTCACAACTGCGGATAAATAAGAATGTTACAAGCATGTGATGCTCCTGTAAACTCACCTGGGGCAAGTAACAGGTGTGGGCAATATAGAAATCACACCTGAAAGCAGATAAAAAGGAGAGACGTTCACTTAACCTTTGCATTGTGTGTCTGTCTGTGCCACACTAAGCATGGACAACAGAAAGAGGAGACGAGAACTGTCTGAGGACCTGAGAACCAAAATTGTGGCAAAATATCAACAATCTCAAGGTTACAAGTCCATCTCCAGAGAACTAGATTTGCCTTTGTCCACAGTGCGCAACATTATCAAGAAGTTTGCAACCCATGGCACTGTAGCTAATCTCCCTGGTCGTGGACGGATGAGGAAAATTGATGAAAGATTGCAACGCAGAATAGTCCGGATGGTGGATAAGCAGCCCCAAACATGTTCCAAAGACATTCAAGCTGTCCTGCAGGCTCAGGGAGCATCAGTGTCAGCGCGAACTATCCGTCGACATTTAAATGAAATGAAACGCTATGGCAGGAGACCCAGGAGGACCCCACTGCTGACACAGAGACATAAAAAAGCAAGACTACAGTTTGCCAAAATGTACTTGAGTAAGCCAAAAGCCTTCTGGGAAAACGTCTTGTGGACAGATGAGACCAAGATAGAGCTTTTCGGTAAAGCACATCATTCTACTGTTTACCGAAAACGGAATGAGGCCTACAAAGAACAAAACACAGTACCTACGGTAAAATATGGTGGAGGTTCAATGATGTTTTGGGGTTGTTTTGCTGCCTCTGGCACTGGGTGCCTTGACTGTGTGCAAGGCATCATGAAATCTGAGGATTACCAAAGGATTTTGGGTCGCACTGTAGGGCCCAGTGTCAGAAAGCTGGGTTTGCGTCCAAGATCCTGGGTCTTCCAGCAGGACAATGACCCCAAACATACGTCAAAAAGCACTCAGAAATGGATGGCAAAGAAGCGCTGGAGAGTTCTGAAGTGGCCAGCAATGAGCCCAGATCTAAATCCCATTGAACACCTGTGGAGAGATCTTAAATTGCTGTTGGAAAAGGTGTCCTTCCAATAAGAGAGACCTGGAGCTGTTTGCAAAGGAAGAGTGGTCCAAAATTCCGGGTGAGAGGTGTCAGAAGCTTATTGATGGTTATAGGAAGCGACTGATTTCAGTTATGTTTTCCAAAGGGTGTGCAACCAAATATTAAGTTAAGGGTGCCAATACTTTTGTCCAGCCCATTTTTGGGGGTTTTGTGTGACATTATGTCATATTTGCTTTTCTGCCTCTGTTTTATATTTGTTCCAATACATACAAAGGGAATAAACATGTGTATAGCAAAACATGTGTTAATGCAATACCTTTTTTGTGTGAAATACTTGATTTTCAGGAAAAATATCAAGGGTGCCAACAATTTCGGCCATGACTGTATATATATATATATATATATAAAAAAAGGTGCAGCGCTAAAATTCCAACTAATGACATAAGAGCTCAATCTAAAACATGCCAATAATCATAGATCATCATAAAATTAACATAAATTTAAAGTGACTTGTGACAAGGTGCCAAGATCCACAAAGATAAATAAAGTGACTTCTGTGAAGATGTGAAGTCTGTCACTATTGAGTGACCAGTAATGCTAATATAGTGATATAGTATTGTCCCAATGTGAATGTGGAAGATCAAATTATCTCCAAGAGTAGATGTTCCATCCAATACTGTGGTGAAATAACCGGTATCATAAAGACTGCGCACTCACCAGATGCGCAATCAGTCAGCGCATTTAGAGACAATATTCTCTGTGGATGAACTGGAGGCTCCTATGTGGATGGATCTGGTCTGGTCAGAAGTTCCCCTCACTGCTCACTCCTGCTGTCAATATGGCTCTAACCCTCCTTTCATATAGCTCTGTGGGTTATTAGAAGCTCACAGGAAGCGGTTTTCCTGGAAATTTACATGGCACCGCTGCTGTGAGCTAGCAGAAAGAAACAGATACATGCATAAAAAGTAATCAAGATGGCTGCTCCAGGAAAACAGCTTCCTGCGAGCTTCTAATAACCCACAGAGCTATATGAAAGGAGAGTTAGAGCCATATTGACAGCAGGGGTGAGCAGTGAGGGGAACTTCTGATCAGACAAGTGAGGGGAACTTCTTATCAGACCAGATCCATCCACATAGGAGCCACCGGTTCATCCACAGAGAATATGGTCTCTAAATGCGCTGACTGATTGCGCATCTGGTGAGTGCGCAGTCTTTATGATACCGGTTATTTCACCACAGTATTGGATGGAACATCTACTCTTGGAGATAATTTGATCTTCCACATTCACATTGGGACAATACTATATCACTATATTAGCTTTACTGGTCACTCAATAGTGACAGACTTCACATCATCACAGAAGTCACTTTATTTATCTTTGTGAATCTTGGCACCTTGTCACAAGTCACTTTAATTTTATGTTAATTTTATGATGATCTATGATTATTGGCATGTTTTAGATTGAGCTCTTATGTCATTAGTTGGAATTTTAGCGCTGCACCTTTTTTATATATATATGGGTTAGAATGCTTACTCAGATGCTATTCTTATTTACCTTTTTTTTTCTTCTTTTTTATCTCTTTATTTATATCTTTGCTAGTTTTACAGATGTTATGTACACTGGTTTATTGCTTTGGAAAGACGTTTCCAGATGCATAATGCTGAATGTGGGAGGACATCCCTATAACGAGTACTATGGTTACTAGCAGATCCCTTGTATACATCACACATGCTTCTGCTAGACGTCATTGAATATGTAAGCATGTAACACTGATCAAATGTTTATTGCACCATTGTACTTTTTTCTTCATGCAAACCAATAAAAACTAATGGGGAAAAAAGGCAGGTAGTATTGGTCATTGTAGTGATTCATTCCTACCTCAGTATTTGCTGACTGGGATCACAGGGAATGGGAGAAAGGACCGGGCTTAGCAAACCTCATGCAGTAAAAAATAGCAAGATCTCCCTGCCATAATTCCTGACACGGTTTCTATCAACTTGGGAGTTTTCGATGTTCCTGCCAATCTTTGTGTTCCAGCTCAACCTGTTGCATTCTCCAAAAAGTACCTAACAAACACTGCCTAGGCATCGGAAGCGGAAGTATACCCCTCAGTCTTCTAGGACACGTGACAGGTCCCAGAAGACTGCAGGACCACTCACAATGTGCAGCACTACTCGCGCATGCACAGTGGGCACCCGGCTGTGACGCTGCAAGTTACAACAGCCGGGTGCCCACACTTAAGATGTCGGTGAGCACACTGCTGGATCGAGAGACAGGTAAATGGCTGTTTTTTAAAAAAGTCAGCAGCTACAGTTTTTGTGGCTGCTGACTTATTTTTTCACCGGAGACTGGAGCTCTGCTTTAAATGTGCACAGAAACTATGTTGAGAAAAAAAAAAAACCTCAACTATGCTTTGGCCCACCAACCGGCTGAGGTGCAACTGTTCGTAAATATTCCGCTTACATTATAGTCTACTTCTGATAGACCGTGGGAATATTATATGAGAGCTCAGTTATTTCTTGTGAATGTCACATAAAATTATATATTTTACCTTCTTTAAGACCCAAAAGCTGAACATCTCCAAAATATATCCTGCAAATAAAAACAGCAGATAAGAAAACATTAGTATCTGCATAAAACTGCCCTAGTACACATACATATGAAAGCTAGATACTAACACACATTATGTATGACTGTAAAAACCCCTATATGGATGCACTGTAGCATTCTTCTATCAAGAGATTAAAAGTCAAATTAGGACAACAAGCTCTATATTGTACATTCACATCAGTCCCTAACCCTCAAGGGGCGTACAATCTAAGGTCCCTAACTCACATTCATACATACACATACTAGGGACAATTTAGACAGGATCCAATTAACCTACCAGCATGTCTTTAGAGTGTGGGAAGAAACCGGAGTACCCGATTTGCGTGGTTATGTGTGAATGTAAATGGTGATTCGCAATTACATACATTTTGATACATTTCTATTGATTTAAATGGAAAACGCATCCAGGGAAAAATTCATAGGTGTCAATATGCCCCAAAAGTCCATCTCTGGGGTGATATACCTACCTGTAGAGAATGACATATTCATGCCCCTGCTTCCTGGACAGCCTGTAGGCTGGTGTTACCCTGGTGACTGCCAGTAAGGATTTCAGTAGCAGCGACAGCCGGTTATACACAGTATAGGAGACCTTTATATCTCGATCACATCTAAAAAAAAAAAAAAAAAAAAAAAAAAAAAAACTCCAATAAGTTACAGAAAATAAAAGTTGACAATTAATATCTTTTACAGGTACACTGCATACACCTTTCCAACCGCTCCGTTTCCGCCACCCCCCTCTGCCAATCCCTCCACTGGCTTCCGATTGCGCAACGGATCAAATTCAAAATCCTAACACTGACGTACAAAGCCGTCCACCATACTGCCCCGAACTACATCACTGACCTAATATCCAAGTACCGCCCCCAGCATGCACACTCCGCTCCTCACAAGACCTCCTTCTCTCTAGTTCCCTGGTCTCCTCCTCCCATGCCCGCCTCCAGGACTTCTCCAGGGTGTCACCCATCCTCTGGAACTCCCTGCCCCAACCCATAAGATTATCACCTACTCTCCTCTCCTTTAGCGCGCACCCTGAAAACCCATCTCTTCAGGGAAGCCTACCCCGCCCCCTGCTAACTTGCCGACCTCCTCCACTCTTCCTACCACTCCATCCCCCACAGCTATCTCCTCCTGTGCCACCATCCCCTCCCTCCTAGATTGTAAGCTTGAAAGAGCAGGGCCCTCGATCCCCTCATGTTTTGCATTGTATTGGTATTGTTCTGTCACATGTTCTGTCCCCCTTTGTAATGTACAGCGCTGAGCGAACTATTGGCGCTTTATAAATACTGTATAATAATAATAATAATAATACACAGTAAGTTCATAGAAATCAAGCCTCTCAAAACAACTGGAAAAAGCTTACTACACAGTTGTACTATAATCTCACCAGCAGGTGGCGCAGCAAGTGAATTTTTTAAATACGTATATATTTTGGTCCGGATAAAAAAAACTTTGGCAATTCCTCCAAAGGAATTCACATGCTTGCCTCACAAAGCCCAAATCAGAAAAAAAAAAAAAAACATTTTCATTTGGAACCACAGCTAGTAATTTTACATTTTGGATAGAAAAGGGTACCATTAGAGCTTTTTATGAGCATTTTTTGCTGTCTATGACCCAACTGGAAAGATTTTGGCCCACTTCTTGTTCTGACGACACACATTAGGGTGTAAACACAGCAAAGACAGAAATAAAAACACGTCAAGTTCTCATCGAATGATTTCTGTCTGTATCTGTGGTATGAAAGACCGCTGCCATTGGGAAAAGGAGTAAGGAAAAATCTCCTCTGTAGGACAGAGGAAGTAATAGGCCTGTCAGTGGTTTTAATCCTCCCCTCTTCTATCCAAAACAGGCAAACAAGCACTTCAATTGTCAAGTTTGCATTTCAAGTTTAAAGTGGTCCTAAAGGCTTAAGGATTTTCACCTTAACCAATTCCCGCGGCCGCAAGCATATATATGCTGCCTCTTGGTGGGTTGGCTTTAATGCCAAGCAGCCGTATATATGCGTCTATATGAAAACAGTTTACTGTGCTGAGAGCGTGGGGCTGCTCTGTACAAAACCATTGCACAGAGCAGGGAAGTATGACTTTTTTAATGTAGAAAAAATAGGTTTACAATCACTTTAAAGTTTAACTATGGGCACAAAACCTTTCCCTTTCATTTTTCAAGCCCAGTTATTACATTGTAAAAGTAACATCATTAGCCTGCAAAGCTGTGTGAGGGACACAAAAGTGTAAGATAGATAGATAAATAGTGTGTGTGTGAGTGTGTGTGAGAGAGAGAGAGAGAGAGAGAGAGAGAGAGAGAGAGAGAGAGAGAGAGAGAGACACAGAGAGAGACAGAGAGACAGAGACAGACATGGATAAAAGAGAGAGAGAGAGAGAGGGATAGAGAGAGAGATAAAGGGAGAGGGGGGTGGGGAGAGGGATAGAGGGGGGGTAGAGAGAGGGAGGAGAGAGATAAAGAGAGATAATGAGAGAGGGGGGGGAGAGGGGGAGAGAGGGAGGGAGAGAGAGAGGGGGGGGGAGAGAGGAGAGATGGGAGAGGGGAGGGAGAGAGGGGCGAGAGGAGGGGGAGGGAGGGAGAGGAGAGAGGAGGGGAGGGGGAGGGAGGGAGGGAGAGGAGAGAGGGGGGGGAGGGAGGGAGAGGAGAGAGGGGGGGAGAGGGAGGGAGAGGAGGAGGGGGGAGAGGGGGGAGGGAGAGGAGAGAGGGGGGAGAGGGAGGGAGAGGATGAGAGGGGGGAGAGGGAGGGAGAGGAGAGAGGGAGAGGGGGGGAGGGGAGAGGGAGGGAGAGAGAGAGGAGAGAGGGGGGGAGAGGGGGGAGGGAGAGAGGGAGAGGGGGGAGAGGGAGGGAGAGGGAGGGAGAGTGGGGGGGAGAGGGAGGGAGGGAGAGAGAGGAGAGAGGGGAGAGAGGGAGGGAGAGAGAGAGGGGAGAGGGAGGGAGGGAGAGAGAGAGAGGGAGGGAGGGAGAGAGAGAGAGGGGAGAGGGAGGAGAGAGAGAGGGAGGGAGGGAGGGAGAGAGGAGAGAGGGAGGAGAGGGAGAGAGAGAGAGAGGGGAGAGGGAGGGAGAGAGAGAGGAGGGAGGGAGAGGAGAGGAGAGAGGGAGGGGGAGAGGGGGGGAGAGAGAGAGAGGGAGAGGGGGGAGGGGAGAGGGAGGGGGGAGAGAGAGGAGGGGGGGGAGAGGGGAGGGGGGGGGGAGAGGGGGAGAGGGAGGGGGGGGGGGAGAGGGGGGGAGGGGGGGGGGAGTGGGGGGAGGAGGGGGGGAGAGGGGGGGAGAGGGGGGGAGCGAGAGAGAGAGAGAGAGAGAGAGAGAGAGAGAGAGAGAGGAGAGAGAGGCGGTAACTGGTCTTTATAACAGAAGTGGTGTACAAATTCAAAGTGCAAGAGTTAGATTATGCTGGATTACTGCACAGATCTGAATAAAATACCAAGTTTTACGTGTGAATACATGAGTCTTGGAGTCTTGTAATTAAACAATATTTGTCGTCAACTTTAGGATTTGTTTTAGCCTTGGATACAGTGGGAAAGGGTTAGAACCACTGTCAGGTCCTTGCTGCTGTCTATGTCCCCACTGAGCAAATTTCCCCTCACTAAGCATCCCCCAAAAAACAGCCCTTCTGGATTTCCCCTCATTTGTTGTCTTAGTGGTCACCAGGACAAATAGTAAGGGGTGACAGAAAATCTGACTAAGGTTCTAAGCCTTCTTAGATGCATCCAAACTAGAAAATATCTTTTTTCCATGGTTTCACTTTAAAGAACATTAATACTTTGAGGGATCGAAGGTTTATTTATCAGAACATAAATGTAAAGGGTTAAGGTAACTAGTGAAGAAATCTTCCTTAGGGAAACACAATTTGGGGGGGATTTAGGAAGAATTAAAAGTTATTAGTCATCCAAGGTGACATTTCCGATCTGTGCTACCCGACAGACACCGAGGAATGCATAGTATGCACAAGACACAATGCAATAATAAATTTAAAGGTCACATTAACACAAAATGACAAGACACTTTCAAATGTCTGTTTCCCAGAAGAAAATGAAGAAAAAAAAAAAAAAACAAACTTCACTAACTTTTCATTCATTTCCAGACACCACACTTCAAGTTCCATGGAATCACCCTGCAACACATTGAGAATTATGATTAATATTTGGGCTGAAGTCATACGCAAGACCCTGAACATACTGAGAAAGTATAAGCCCCACCATACAGTGACCTGTAGTTCCTCTGCAGCTGTACAGAAGCAAACTGTATATCACCAATACACAGAAACCGCAGAGCCTCAATACATGGGACTTGCAGCACTGAGGTCCTCTGCTCAAATCCCAGCCAGCACACTATCTCCATGGAGTTTGCATGTTCTCCCCGTCTGTTTGGCTTTCCTCCGGGTACTCTAGTTTCCTTTTGCACCCCAAAGACATGCTGGTAGGTTCATGGATCCTGTTTAAAAATTGTCCCTAGTATGTGAGATAAGGAAAATAAGACTGAGGGCAGGGACTAATGTGAATGAATATCATGAAAAGTGTGGAATAAATTTGTCAGTGCTATATACCCGATTTTGACAGGTAACCGCTCCCACATCCGCTCCGACCAACTAGGTCAGGGGTGTCAAACTGCCAGCGAAACTACAAGTCCCATCATGAGTCTGCCTTTGGGAGTCATGCTTGTAACGGTCAATCTTGCAATGCCTCATGGGACTTGTAGTTTGGAAACAGCTGGAGGGCCATTAGTTTGATACTTGTGACCTAGGTGATCAAAAGATGAAGTTCTACTCCCTCCTTCCCCGCAGTCTTCTGGAACACATGACAGGTCCTAAAGACTGTGGGACCAATGTGCAGCACAGCTCACGAGTGCTTAGTGGGCACCCGGCTCTGAAGACACAAGCTGTCAAACCAGGGTGCTCACAGTTGATGTGTCGGCACTGGGAACAGAAGACCGAGGGAAGGAACGTCTCGGGTGAGCACATCGCTGGACCCTGGGACAGGCAACTGTTTATTAAGAGACAGCAGCTACAGTTTTGGAGCTGCTGACTTTTAATAAACACAAAAATGAAGGAAGGTCCTCTTTAACCTCTTGCCGTCCGCCTGCTTTTTATAAACGGCAGGGCGGTGGCAGTCCAGGGGCGGGTTGCTGTTGATAAACGGCACCTGCCATTTCTAGCTGTGCGCGCTACCTGGGAGCGCGCAGCACCACGATCCGGTGCCCGCTGTGTCCTCCGGACACAGTGAAACACCGATCGTCGGACGGGACCTCTGTATGAGGTCCCGATCATGTGATCACCGATTGGCCAATCAGTGATCACATGCAAAGTAGTAAGCAACATGTCACTTGTGACATCATTGCTTACTACGTGTGAAATCTGTGAATGATCACAGAGGTCACATGGTACAAGGCTATTCACAACATCCTTGTACCATGTGACAAGCTGTGACCAATCACAGCTCACTCAGTATTTCTCAATGGCTGCAAGAATGCAGACAGAGAGAAAGAGAAATGATTGCTTTTACATCCTATATGGGTGTAAAAGCAATCAGTGTAAAAAAAAAAAAATCTTCATCACCCCCCACAAGTAGTACAGTGTCACCATGGTGACACTGTACTGCTAGGGTGACAGTAAGTAAAAAAAAAAAAAATATAAAAAATAATATAAAAAAAAATAAAAATGTAAAAAAAAGTTTAAAAATTATAATTTTTGGTTATAAACTAATTTGGATTTTTTTTTTTTTACTAAAAAAAATAACGGAATAAATTTTGATCAATCAAGATTTATGATTAAATATTATTTATTTGCAAAATTTTATTTAAAAAAAAAAAAACACTTTTTTAAATTTTTTGACATTTTCATTTACATAGTAAAAAAAATAAAAATCCCAGCAGTAAATAAATACCACCAAAATAAAGCTTTCTTCTGTCTCAAACAAATGGTAAAAAATTTCATATGGGTACAGTGTTGCATGACCGTGCAATTGTCATTCAAAGTGTGATAGCGCTGAAAGCTGAAAATTGCCCTGGACAGGAAGGGGGTGAAAGTGTCCGGACTGGAAGTGGTTAAAGAGGGAGAGGCATCACAAGGAACCAATCAGTTAAGCTGCAGTCCTCACCTGTCATGTCACAACAAATGACATGCTGATAACGGAGCAAAGTGAAGCTCATCAGTCTGCTGCTTCTCCTCTCACTGTCATGTCAGGGGGGGGGAAGGGACCAGACCTGTAAGTGTTCCTGCAGCAGAGAAAAATCAAGTCTCCTGCCATGCCGGGCATGCCTGTGCTATGTGGCAGAGCTGACTAGATCTCATGACTGGATGAACATGAATTCAAATCCAGTGGCAGCTATAATTAATCCCAAAAAATATTTATCTTTGTATTTAGCCATTTACCTGGAATTCAGCTTTAAACCGCTCTTCCTATCTTGAATTAATCTCAATATACTTCCCTTTTCTGTTCTCCTCTTTCCTTATGTCCTTAGAGGTTATCCTTCTCTATCTCTCTTTCAAGTCTCTTCCACTGAAAGCCCGAAGTGCTGCTTTACAAAGTCCATATACAAGGTGTGAGCGGACATGAATCAACATGAATCACTGCACAGACATCAAATGTAATGATTTCTTTAACCACATGCCCTCCGGAAGATTTACCTGCCTTCCTGACCAGGCCATTTTTTGCTATTCGGCACTGCGCTATTTCAACTGGTATATGCGCAGTCATGCAACACTGTACCCAAAAGAAATTTGTCATTTTTGTCACACAAATAGAGCTTTCTTTCAGCGGTATTTAATCACCAATGCATTTTTTTTATTTTTTATGATATGAACGAAAAAAAATAGTGAAAATTTTGAAAGAAAAAAAAAGATATATTTTCTATTTTTGGTAACAAAAAATATTCAATAAACTCAAAGTTAGTCATTTATTTATTTATTTCAGGTACTTATATAGCGCCATCCATTTAAGCAGCACTTTACATATATATTGTACATTCACATCAGTCCCTAACCCTCAAGGGGCATACAATCTAAGGTCCCTAACTCACATCCATACATACTAGGGACAATTTAGACAGGAGCCAATTAACCTACCAGCATGTATTTGGAGTGTGGGAGGAAACCGGAGTACCCGGAGGAAACGCACGCAGGCACAGGGAGAACATGCAAACTCCAGGCAGGTGGTGCCGTGGTTGGGATTTGAACCGGCAACCCTAGTACTGCCAGGCAGAAATGCTAACCACTTAGCCACTGTGCCGCCCAGTCATAAATGTAGGCCAAAATGTATTCTGCTACATGTCTTTGGTAAAAAAAAAAATCCCATTACATGTATATTAATTGGTTCATGTAAAAGTTATAGCGTCTACAGACTATGGTATAGATATTTGAATTTACGCAGCTTTTACCTTACTTGAGGTGCTAAAATGCCAGGGCAGAACAAAGACCCCCAAAAATCATCCCTTTTTGGAAAGTAGACATCCCAAGGAATTTGCTGAGAGGCATGTTGAATTCATGGAAAATTTTATTCTTTGCCACAAAATTTTTGAAAAATTACAGTTTTTTTTTTTTTTTTACAGAAAGTTGTGACTTAATGATATATTGCTCACACATGCCATGGGTATATGTGGAATTACACCCCAAAAAACATTCTGCTACTTCTCCCGAGTATGGGGATTCCACATGTGAGACTTTTTGGCAGTCTATCTACATACAGACCCCCAAAATCCAATGACTACTTTCAGGCTTTCAAAGGGCATATTTCCTCACTACCTATCACTGTTTCGGAGGCCCTAAAATGCCAGGATAGTACAAACACCCCACCCCCCTCAAAATGACCCCTTTTTGAAAAGTAAACAATCCAAGCAATTTGATAAGAGGTATTGTGAGTATTTTGCAGATATCATTTTTGCCACAGGGTTTTGAAAAAAAAAAAAAAAAAAAAGAAAAGAAAATATACATTTTTGTGTTCTTTCTTCATTTTCCAAAAACTAGTGGCAACAGATGAGATCTGCAAAATACTCACCATGCCTCTTAGCAAATACCTTGAAGTGTCTACTTTCCAGAAAAGGATTATTTGGTGGGTGGGCGGAGGGATTCACGGAGATCTTCATTCTGTTGTGTCCCTTGGACACAGCGGTCGCGGGTGGGGACTTGTGTTCGTACAGCCAGAGCGACGTTCCCGTATGTCGCTTTGCCTGTAACTGCCGCCCATCTACAGTACACTGTGGGCAGGCAGCAAGCGGTTAATATGCCGGCAGTAGCAAAGTGATATGTATATAATGCATTCTTTACAGTGCAAGATCTGTGTTAAAGTAAAGCAGTGTCCCTGTAAAATGCTAAGGTGCCAGTGGTTTGCAGTGTGTGCAGGCACAAGCTTTTCCCAGCAAACTGCCTCTCATCCCAACACTGGGACTGATCATGTGCCTAGGAAGTGAATGGAATGCACATGCCAGTTTCAAACTTAACAGGAGATTAGAACCCACAAAGAAGGTTCTTTGACATGAAAAGGATTTTTATTTTAATAAAAATAGGATTTACACTTATTACTTCAAAAACTATAAGCCGTCATATCCATACTATACCTCTGAGGTCTTTAAAGAAATTTCGACACACATTGAGCGTCCTACGGCAGGTAGCTGACCAGACAGGGCTTTCTTGGCTTCCTGGGTAACCTCAGGGATGTCCTTGATTGCCAAGTTGAACTGCAAAAGGAAAAGGTTTACCCTATAAATGCTGAAAATCCATCAGCCAAAAAACACAAAACATATCCCATAGTCAATGGGCATCGAACACATGCACTCAAATGAAAAACACAATTTGTTGAGTTTAGTCTGCAAATACACCCTAATAACACACATGCCGCATCTAAAGAAACGCAAAGCTGTCATGTACATGGGAATTTACTAACCTGCGTCTGACTTTAGTTTCAAAGACACGTCAAACGCAGGGAAAACAACGACCGTGTACATGAGCTCAGCGGCTTACAAACTGAATACAAAACTTAACAAAATGATACTGCACATTTTTGAAGAGGACATGTCTCCGTATTACTAGCAGCACACGCAGTGAATGAAGAAAGTGAGGCTTCCCACCTGTTAGCTAGGTGTCTCATCACACAGCGGAAGCAAAAGAATGTTACATCACTTCTGCTTTCAGCGCAAAACATGTCGTCACTTTCACACCTGCAAATAATGCAGGTTCCATTTTTTTGGTCTAACCCCTGTATTTCTTCACCAACATGGAAATTGACACTCTAGTTTATAACTCAACTACTTTACTGAATATATTACATAAGGCAATGTAAAACAGGATGATGAGACCTCTTAAAAGAGGAGTATGGCCAAAGCTTTTTTCTTTAGCTGACTTTAATGTCAGGATCCACCCACATGCCTGGACTGGCAGCTGGCTCAGCCTCTTAGCGAGCCACTGAGTGCCTGAGCCAGCCCCTCCACAGCCTGCCACCCTAGTGAGCGCTGAAGGGGCTGAGCAGAGAGCCAATAACTGACAGTCACCGCTCAGTGAAGACCGAGAATTGAGTGATCGGCAGTCATGTGACCGCTCAGTTCTCGGTCTTAGAACTGGTTGGGACAGCTGCAGCATTGGACCGATGCTGCAGCCATATAGGTAAGTATGTATGCTTGTTTTTTTTTTTTCCCCCATTTTCCACACTTCACCTTTAAGTGTTTCATGCCTAACCACATTTAATTATAGAGTGATTAGGAACGAAGTCTATGATTAAGTGCGGTTAAACAAGAGATGTGTAAAAGGTCTCATCTTACTGTTGTACTTTTACTTATGGAATATATTCAATAAAGACGGTAAAGTTTTAGCCTGGAGGGCAGTCATCTATTCTGGTGAAGGAAAATGCTCAGTTACGATAAGCTTCAGAGAAAAAGTCATCACATAGCTTCTGATTTTTTAATCCTTTTAAATGAGCTAGACATATTGGTCCCCATGAACACAGTAATTTGTTCCACAGGAGGGGTTTATTTAATGAAAATCGCAAGTTAGGCGCTATGTTGTTAATTTAGATGAAAATTGTGCTCATTGATGTTCTTTAAATTGACAATACTGGTATTTATACTGAAAATTTGACCTGCATTTAAAAAAAGTTTTACCCAGTCTGAACCGGTTGGAGAGGAGGAAGAGCGGGTACATATCTTGTCCCCAAGGCGAGCCTGGACAATCACCTGGACAGTCTGCAAAATGAACAGAGTTTTAATAAAAGGTCATAAATTTAAGAGTAGATCCATAGGTGACATTACCATTCAGGACATCGGTCAAAAATTCCTCATTTTCCCCATCTGAATTCATGAATAAACAGGTTACAGCAGACTATAGAACTCTCCCACTACGAATTCCAGAGTGTGTACCATAAGAATACATATTGACTATATTGTGTCTGTGGACACCGTGGTTCCCAAACAACCATGAGATTAGACCACTGCCAGAAATATCCACGTAATGCCCAAAACACAAAATCATACATAATTATGGAAATATTTTTATGTGGATGGATTTTGCCCCCATCATCACATATCAGTGACTAGCCACCAGCACATATCAATGACTAGCCACCATCACATATCAATGACTAGCCACCAGCACATATCAATGACTAGCCACCAGCACATATCAATGACTAGCCACCAGCACATATCAATGACTAGCCACCAGCACATATCAATGACTAGCCACCAGCACATATCAATGACTAGCCACCAGCACATATCAATGACTAGCCACCAGCACATATCAATGACTAGCCACCAGCACATATCAATGACTAGCCACCAGCACATATCAATGACTAGCCACCAGCACATATCAATGACTAGCCACCATCACATATCAGTGACTAGCCACAATCACATATCAATGACTAGCCATCATCACATATCAATGACTAGCCACCAGCACATATCAATGACTAGCCACCAGCACATATCAATGACTAGCCACCATCACATATCAATGACTAGCCACCAGCACATATCAATGACTAGCCGTTTGCTGACCACACAATTTTCAGGCGATCCCAATTGCATGGAAAAGAGGGCAGTCTAAAGCCTGGTACACACGGACCAAATATCAGCCCACTTAACAGAAACCGAACGATATTTGGCCCGTGTGTACAACAGCCTGTCCAGCTTCTGTAAAATGGACATGCCAGAAAAACATCTGCTGGCCAGTGTGTTCCGGTGGGGGGGCAGTCCCCTGTTAGAACACAATAGCACAGCGGGAGATTGCATTACTAGTACATCGAGTTCCTCTGGAGCTTTTCAGGAGCTGGGCTGAACGAAAAAAAAACCCCAAAAACTCAGTGTGTGTACCAGGCATAGGAAGCTAGCTATACATGAGGCAATTTGCTATATCGATGAATGCACTTTGATCACGTTTGACTAAAAAGCAATCAAAGACTTAAAACATGATGGTCTTCAGGGCTGCTGTTAGAAACCACAGGGCCCCATACAGCAGACCTGACAGGGCCCTCTCAAAAAAAAAAAAAAAAAAAAAAAAAAAAAAAAAAAAAAAAAAAAAACACACACACACACACACCAGGAGTGTATGATGCTTCAGTTATGAATGATCGGTACCAATCACCCATTGTGTTCATTCAGGAAAGAAAGGGGCTAGTAAATGTGACATATTTACCAGAACCATCCCCCACTCTCCATTCTGAAGGCTCCTATTGTGCACTTGCAGCTGCCGGACGGAAGCAGAGGATGGAAGTCGGCAGCATTGCAGGGGGAAATGTATGGTGCACAGGGAGGGTGATTGGTACATCGGGGGGGAAGCAATTACTGGAACTGATCCCCTGCAAGAGTGACGGTCAGTCAGTCAGTCAGTCAGTCATTTCTGCAGCAGCTTGGAGGGAGAGGAGAAGAATCCAGCTTTCAGCTGCTGCAGGAAGAGCCCTACAGCGGATCGGTTCCAGTAATTTGTGCTGATCACCCTCCCTGCCCACATCAAATTATCCCAGCTGTCCAGGCCCCCCTGCTGGCCTGGGCCCCGTACAGGAGGACTGGTGCTACCCCTTATCCACAGCCCTGATGGTCTTCACCAACCACAAGGAGACATGATTGAAATTGCCCTGATCGAAGGAAGCATCTGATCGCTTTCAGCTTCATTTCCATAGTTTTCCAGTGCCGATTCCATTTCAATTTGCTCTTTTGGTAAACTGTATGGAAGCTTTCAATGTATACACCAACCCCAGTTTTAACTTCATAAATCAACTAAATTCTGGCAGCTGATCTAACCCATGGGTGGTAGATTGCTTTGTTTTCACTGATCACATTTGCGAATCCTGGTGGCCCAAAAGTGGTTGAAATTGACTGAAAATAGCACATGTATGACCAGCTCTAGGTAATTTCATGTTGTTGAAAGAAACGGCTTGTGGTAGGTTGTAGGAAACCGCTAAGTTGGTTTTATAACCGAAAGCTAGCCAAGAGTGGTAATATGTATGTGTGTCCAGCATTATTGGGTGATAAAATGCTATAATAATGTTTGCTATCAAAGAGTAATGCTGGCCATACAGTATATGGAGCAATTTTTTTTTATTTTTTGTAATTTCAAATAACTTTCCATTTCAATATGGTTATTGTTTGTAAAGGTTTTACAATAAAGAATAGAGAATGCATATGCAAGGTCTCAGATATTTGTCAATTATTTGGTAAAACAGGAAGAGTAGAACAGCGGCATTAAGCAAATACATTTTACTAGAGCAATATTAGTGTGGATGAGTCAACAGTACCCATGTGTAGTTTGGATGTGTTGCATGGGGCCTGCATGGCAAATAATATATAAAACTGTCTTAAAGGATTTGGGTGCTAAGAAAAGAAAGAGTGGTTAGAAGACGGCGAGGTGAAGAAATGTAAGTAAGGGGCGAGGGCTTTTGGTAAATGACTCTGAAGTGTTCCTACTGTAACTGGTGGGTCATGATAGTGGTAATATCATGTGGTATAGGGCAGGAAGATGACTGGTGAGCCAAGGCATTCACACTCTCCTAAATTCATCTTTATAATCTGTAAGGGTGCTAGAGAGTTTACCAGAAACACATTCATTCTTTGTTTAAATTCTTCATAACAAATGGACTATTTTTTCGACTAAAAAGGAAAAGATTTGCTTGTCTGCCAGTAGAATGTAGTTCACCATTTTTTTTTTTTGCTAGCATCTATCCAGTCAGTCTAATATCATGTGTAAGACAGTGCATGCCTGGGGCCTCTCCTTACTCAAGTATCAAAAAGTATGGAGAACAGTCTGTAGATTTATGGCCAGAAACTAACTGCAAACGGGCCAGACCACCATACATGCATGGCATCACCTGCTATGCTGCATCTACAAAGGTATATAAGGGGGTCCCTCTCCCACTGACCACTAATAAAAGGAAAGCCATAAAAGAAAGTCCTTTTCCTACTTACCACGAATATAAGGGAGTCCTTCTCCTGCTGACCACTAATATAAGGGGTTGCTATACAAAATGTCTGCACACAGTTGTAAAACTTGCCATTTATTACATCAAAAAAGAGGCTTGCATCATTGATCCCCTAATGAATTTCAGCCAAAAAATAGCCTAAGTCATAGCTTTGACTAAAGCCAGCCATAGACCATTCATACCTCTGCCAGTTTTGCAGGAACCGGCCAAAATTCAAAACATTTATGGTCAGGCTGGATGTACCCAAAAAAATTTATATTATATAGGGCGCGCTTGTTGGAGCCCAACCTCTGTAGCTGTAAGATAAAGGTGCCAGATGGATATCAGGGATGGATGGATGGGAGCAGTAACACTTAGGCAGCTCTTCTTAGAGTGGAAGCAAGGCTCTAATGCAGTAACAAGAAAAAGAGAGGAAGGCGCCTCTAAGGGCAGTATTGACAATTTATTCAGTAAACAATGGAAAATTTGCACTTACAAGATAAAGGTTAAAAAGACTCATCGTGTGGTAATTAGATCCAGGTGGGACATCCAGCAGCAGCAAACTATGCCTATAGGATCAGGAAGTAGAGACCAGGATGTGCCTGTGCATCAAAAATGAAGCTTGGAGAGCCGAGTCAGATGTAGCAGGTGAAGGGGGCGGTAATGCATTTCGGAGCATGCTCAATAGGCTCCTTCTTCAGCTGAAGAAGCTCTCCAAGCTTCATTTTTGATGCACAGGCACATCCTGGACTCTATTTCCTGATCCTATAGGCATAGCTTGCTGCTGGACGGCTGGATGTCCCACCTGGATCTAATTACCACACGATGAGCCTTTTTAACCGTTTATCTTGTAAGTGCAAATTTTCCATTGTCTACTAATAAATTGTTAATACTGCACTTAGAGGCGCCTTCCTCTCTTTTTCTTGTTACTGAATGTACCCAAGCTGATCGCTTATTTAACCTGGGTACAACCAGCCTGCTGGATTTTACATGCGATTATTGCTAGCGGCTGTTATAGCCGCTAGCAATACTTCCTTTGTTCTCCTGGCAGGTACAGCTCCCCCCGCCACACAGTGAGGGATTTCCCCATCAAATTTCTTTCCTGCAATTCTTGGATGCAGGAAAGAAATTTGCTCTGTCTATGGCCAGCCTTAGGGTTTGTAGGATTAAGGTACGTTTTCCTGAAGGGGACATCTGGTGAGAGCCCTGCCTGCTGATTTTTTGTGACATATTTAGTGAGGATCAGAAAAAGGTGGACCAGATCTGTAATCAGTCCTATGATAGTAATTTCAACTATTTTCCATTGATAATAGAATAGGAAAGTTGTTGAATTATCAAATGCAACCTACCCTAATGAATATGATCAATCAGCAAAATACTAATCAATTTTATATCTGAAATACATTTCTTAGACTGAATGCATAATTCTGATCAAATAGGAACTGAAAAAACAGGAATCCCATTAAAAAAAACTGATAGAAGCAATCATAGTTTCTACCACATTCACATTTTTTTCTCCTATGCAAATGCCCAGCATGTGATTGAAAAGAAAGGATTTTGCCAAAAACTTGATCCTAAAAAACATGAACATCAAAACACCTAAGTTATAATTTTTTGTTTTTCTTTTTATTTACCTTCAAGGCAAAAAATTTGACAAACTTGTCCAAGTCCTTCCGGTCTTGTGGGCTGAGGTCTGAATCCATGGTGTCTGTAGGCCTGAAAATAAGAAACCACTGTTAGCCGGACTATGGGGAGACAATCAGCGATGAACTGCCTCACAGAATACAATTGAAAGAATGGTCCAAAAACAAAAAAAGGAAAAAGAAAAACCTGGCCAATAGCCAATCTGTAAGATCCTTTTTTGCCATGTTCTACAAACATGGATAGTTGGAATCAATAGTAACTGAAATTGAAGCCACAAGGATATTGGTGCTCATATGCACTAGAAATCCTTTTTGCATTTATTTTTCTTAGTAGGGATTGCGTTTTTTCTTGGTCTTTGATCAACAATCATTGATTATTAGTGAATAATTTTTGGTCTATAGCCCATTTTTTTCCCATGTGTGGCTGTGGTTTTTTAAATTTTTGTTTTTAAAATGGATAACCATCTGTAGAAATATAATATATTTCTGCAAGCAGTAAATTATGGCTTTATGTACGTTCTTTTTGAAATGTATTTCTTTATTGTACATCACGGGACACAGAGCAGGCCATTTATGACTATATGGGTTATAAACCAACTATAGGTGAATGGACACTGGCTGACCAATCAGAGAGGAGGTCCTTCCCTATATAACCCCTCCTATACAGGAAGTACTTCAGTTTTTTCACCAGTGTCTGTAAGGTGGATGGTCAAAGTGTTGTTGTGCTCTTGGAGCATACCTGAAAGTCCAGAACGGTTCCATTCGAGAATCAGAGACTTTAATCGAATCCATTCAGAAAGTGGCGAGCCAAAATGGATGGTACTCAAGCCTCATTGGATAAGAGAAGAAGGGAGAAGAATCCTTGAGGTTTTGCCTGTAATGCAGCCTTATGGCACTGGACCTCGCGCAGGTGGAACCCTGTGCAGTTTTAAATCTGACCAAGGCTCTTCCAGCGGGGTGCTATATGGGTCCAGGGCAGTGGCCCCTCAGCATGGGGACTTGGAAGGTCTGTATAAAATGCCCGCCGTGATGGATGAAGGTTGGTGCCTGACGGAAGTTAGGGACCTGCGGTGGGACTGGTAAGAGGTTGTATTCTCTCTCATACCCCATGAAATAAAAGTCTGTTTGTTAACCTCCTCGGCGGTATGATTCTTTTCCGATTTTTTGTGCTGAAAGTGGTACCATTTTTTTGTATGGAAATATGTAGTTTTTTATTGTAGGCTGTAATTTTTAGGAATACCTCACTGAAATCTGTCCGAACAAGAGTCTATTAAACATTCCGGATATGATAAAATTTGAAACACAAAATCATAAATTATAATTTAATAATCATAAAAAATAATATAATAATAAATTTAATTCAATAATATAATCAAACCAAAAACACTGAAATTTGAAATACAGAGGCAAATTCGCACATCGCTGAGCAAAGTTGCAAAATCGTTTTCAGTGTCTGTTGACGAATTTCCCCACAAATCATCACTCAATTCTGCAAGTGGTTCTGATTTACTATCGCTGTTCTAAAACCGCTTTTGACGTAAAGGGACGCTTTTTGGACGCCATGGACTTTTCTAAGTTTCCAGGCAGAAAGAACATTCAAAATGCAGGCAGGGCGCAGGACAAAGCAGTAGGGACAAAATATATGTGAAATGCATTGAAACAGCAATGACAGCAAAAATGAAATTTTTTAAAAAATTCAAATTTCCCGCCGGCTGCGGCACCCGTACGTCCCGACGTCACAGGGACCGGAACACAGAAGCCGGATGCCTGAGGAGATGGCCGGGGACACTGGAGGGGACAGATCACGGGAGCGAAGGACAAGGTAAGTGCTGCAGGGACCCCCAAAGAACGCTGCATGGTAAGCCCGAGTGTAGCTCAGGGTTACCGCTCTTGGTATAGAAATTTTACCCCGAGCTACACTCGGGAATACCGCTAAGGAGGTTAAGAAATGGGGGTTGCCTGTAGTGGATGCAGCAGTTTCATCCCTGAATAAATCTTTAACATGTCCTGATGATAATGTACAGGTTAAGGACCCAACAGATAAGAAGCTTTAGTCTCTCCTTAAGGCCTCCTTCTCCCCGACAGGTTCTGCCGCACATCCAGCTATGGCAGCTATTGGCATTTGCCAGTCTTTCTGATCGTGTCAAGCAGTGAATCGGAGGACTAACAGTGCAGGGGGAATGCTCAGCCCAGGATTTGAAGGATGTTCCGCGTGCTTTGTGTTTCGTGGTTGATGCCCTTAAGGATTCAATTCAGCAAATTTCTCACTTAGCCCTTTTATCAGGTGAAATCAGTTCCTAAATGTCCGATCCTTTCATATGGAATCAGTTTGGTCAGTATTAGCGTCCATAGACATCAAGGATGCATACCCGCGCATACCGATATTCATTCCTCCCCAAAGATTTCTGCGGTTTGCAAGAGGAGCTCAGCATTTCCAGGTCATAGCACTACCATTTGGGCTGACCACGGCGGCCAGCTTTCACAAAAATTCTTGCTCCTCTGTTTGGGCTTTTCAGAACTCAGGGAGTATCGTTCACCGGTTATCTAGACGATCTCTTGCTCAGAAATCAGTTGGTGCCAGATCTGATGTGGTCCTTACGATGCAGATCCTGGAACAGCTGGGCTGGGTGCTCAATCTCAAGAAGTCGGCCCTGGAACCAGTGCAGAGTCTGGAGTATTTGGGGATGGTTCTAGACACAGTTCAAGCAAAAGATATTTCTGCCTCCAGAGGAACGAGATTTGCAGTTTGAAGGCCAAGAGGTATCCTTCAATTGGTCTCTGTATGAGGTTGCTGGGGAAGATGGTGTCCTCATTCGAGGCTATTCCCTATGGTCAATTCCACTCCAGACCGCAACAAAGGTACATTCTGTCCGTTTGGAACAAATAGATTCCGGCTCTGGATTACTGCATATCTCTGTCTCAAGAGGTGCAGCAGTGCCTGAATTGGTGGTTGACAACTCACAATTTGGAGAAGGGAAGATCCTTTCGGCCAGTGGTGTGGAAGTTGTAACCACTAATGCTAGCCTTTCAGGTTGTGGCGCCGTTCTGGAGGAGGCCACAGTTCAGGAAACATGGCTTCCACAGAAAAAGGTTCTTCTCATCAATGTCCTGGAACTTTGAGCAGTGAGGCTGGCTCTGAGGTATTGGAAATCCCAGCTTCAGGGTTGGCCTGTAAGGATTCAGCCTGACAATTCCACAGCAGTCGCATACATCAACCACCAGGGCGGTGGTACCAGGAGTCGAGGTGCTCAGAAGGAGGTGAACTACATTCTGACCTGGGCAGAGAGATATGTTCCAAGTCTGTCAGTGGTGTTCATTCCAGCTGTGGAAAATTGGCAGGCGGATTATCTCAGTTTTGCCGGCAGTTGACTCCAAGGTAATAGGCTTTGCATCCTGATGTTTTCAAGGAAATCTCCACCGACGGGGTTGTCTGGATGTAGATCTATTGGCATCCAGGTTCAACAAAAAGGTTGGTATTTTTGTGTCCAGGATAAGGGACCCTGTTGCAGCAGGGTAGGCACCTTAGGGATTCCTTGGAACCAGTTCCCACTGATTTATGCCTTTCCTCCGATCCAGCTGCTGCCACGTCTCTTACACAGGATTCAGGAGTAGTCTATTAAGGTGACACTGATTGCTCCGGCCTAGCCCAGGAGAGTCTGGTACGCGGACATAGTGAAGATGGCAGTAGATGGGCCGTGGGTCCTGACATATTGGCCAGACCTGTTGTCTCAAGGTCCTATATTGCACACAGCTTTATGGTCGCTAAGTCTGACGGTGTAGCTATTGAAACCCAGATCCTGAAGGATAGGGGAGTACCGGATTCTGTCATCCCCCTCATGTTGGGTGCTAGAAAGGACGTTTCTAGGACATTTGTTACAGAACCTGAAAGTCTTACATTGCCTGGTGTGAGGTTCACAAATGGCACCCATGAAAGTATGTGATTGGCAGGATTCTGTTGTTTCTTCAAATAGGGTTAAAGAAGAATTTGGCTGTTGATACCATTAAGGGCCAGGTTTCAGCATTAGCTATTTTTTCCCCAGATGCACACTGCATCTCACTCTTTGGTCCACACTTTTTTACAAGGAGTGATGCATATTATTATTAAACAATATTTAAATAGTGCCAAGGGGGTTTGCTCAGCGTTGTACAATAGCGAGCGGGACAGAACATGAGACAATACAGTAACAATACAATACACGAGGGGTTCGAGGGCCCTGCTCTTTCGAGCTTACAATCTAGGAGGGAGGGGGTAGAGGTACAGGAGGAAGTGGCTGTGGGGGATGGAGTGGTGGGAGGAGTGGAGGAGATTGGTTTTTAGGTGAGGGTGGGGTAGGCTTCCCTGAAGAGATGGGTTTTCAGGGTGCCTGAAGGTGAGGAGGGTAGGTGACAGTCTGATGGATTGGGGTAGGGAGTTCCAGAGGATGGGGGAAGTCCAGGAGAAGTCCTGGAGTCGGGCGTGGGAGGAGGAGACCAGGGAGCTAGAGAGTAGGAGGTCCTGTGAGGAACAAAGGGCACGGGTAGGGTGGTATTTGGGTATCAGGTCAGTTAGGTAGTTTGGGGCAGCATTGTGAATGGCTTTGTAGGTCAGAGTTAGTAATTTTAATTTGATGCGCTGGGCAATCGGGAGCTAGTGAAGGGATTGGCAGAGGGGGGTGGCAGATGTGGAGCGGTTGGTGAGGTGGATGAGTCTAGCCGCTGAGTTCAGGATAGACTGGAGTGGGGATAGCTTTTGTTTGGGTAGGCCAGTGAGAAGGGAGTTGCAGTAGTCCAGGCGTGAGATGATGAGGGAGTGTACGAGCATATGGCTCCTCCTGTCACATTGCCTTTGTGTCCTTGGGACCTGAACTTGGTTTTGGAGGTTCTGCAAAGCCACCAGTTGAACCTATGGGAGAGATTCCACTGGTCCTGTTGACTCGTAAGGTGTTGTTTCTAGTGGCAATCACTTCTGCGAGAAGGGTGTCGGAGCTGGCAGCTCTATTTCTTACCAAAATGTGGTTTCTAGCTTTAATCTCAATCAGGACACATTTCTGCCTTCATTCTTTCCTAGACCTCAGTCAGCAAGAGAAAGACCTCTGCATACCTTGGATTTGGTACCTGCTGTAAGGGTCTTCTTGAAGGTGATAGCACAGGTCAGGAGGTCAGATACTCTATTTATGCTGCCAGAGGGGCCTAGGAAGGGGTAGGCAGCATTCAAGGAGACTATTTCTCATTGGATCCGCCAATTGATCATTCAAGCCTATGGTTTGTAAGGTAAAATCCCACCCTTTCGGGTGAAAGCACATTCTTCCAGGAGTGTGGGGGCATCTTGGGCAATCGGCCATCAGGCGTCAGTGGCTCATGTTTGCAAAGCAGCTACATGGTCTTCAGTTCACACATTCGCAAGGTTCTACCAGGTGGATGTCAGAGCCGCAGAGGATTCTGCCTGTGGCCACAGTGTTTTATGGGCGTCTGAGTAGGTCCTGAAGGATTATGGACAGTGGCTATCATGGTGTTACCCTCTCCTCAAATTTCTTATTGCTTTGGGACACCCACCATAGTCATGAATAGCCTGCTCTGTGCCCAGTGATGTACGACATAGAAAATTGAATATTTCTACATACTTACCTGTAAAATCCATTTCTTGGAGTACATCACGGGACACCCCTCTTTCTGGAATTTTCATTGCTTGCTACAAAAACTGAAGTACTTCCTGTATAGGAGGGGTTATATAGGGAAGGACCACCTCTATGATTGGTCGGCCAGTGTCCATTCACCTATAGGTGGGCTATAACCCACATAGTCATGAACAGCCTGTTGTTTCCCGTGATGTACTCCAAGAAATATATTTTACAGGTAAGTATGTAGAAAAAACTCAATTTTATTTTTTTTTTTTTACATTTGTTGAGTATTTACATCAGGGCTTAAAATTTCAAGTCCTGAGCTACTAGCCAGGCCTTAAGAGTTACTCGCCACCAACAAACACACACAAACAGAGACACCTGTACACACACACACACACACACACACACACACACACACACACACACACACATGTGCATACACACACACAGAAACATGTACAAACATGCACAGAGACACATGTACACACAGACACATGTATACACACACAGGCACTTACAGACACGCATATACATACACATGTACATTACAGACACGCATGTACATACACAGACACGTACACACACACACACGTACATACACGCAGACACATGTACAGATACACACATGTACATACACGCAGACACATGTACAGATACACACATGTACATACACACACATGTACATACACACAGACACATGTACATACACACACATGTACATACACACAGACACATGTACATGCACACACGTACATACACACAGACACATGTACATGCACACACGTACATACACACAGACACATGTACATGCACACACACGTACATACACACAGACACATGTACATGCACACACGTACATACACACAGACACATGTACATGCACACACGTACATACACACAGACACATGTACATGCACACACAGACACACACACACAAAGCCCTATAAAAAGTTGCAGTACTTCGTTGTTCACTCACAGAGCAGGGTACTGCACTCTAGGGGGAGGCAGAGAGCACAGCACACACTCCTTGCTTTGCACTCAGCTATTGAGCAGTCTGACGGCTCCCAGTGCCAATGACAGATCCGGCCTGAGCTCCGAGCCTGCTCAGCAAGATGGCCCTGGGGGACACACTCGCCCCCACCATAATTTCCACTCGCCATTGGTGAGCAGACAAGTGGAAATTTCAAGGCCTCATTTACATTACTGTGTATTGGTAAGCCATTATAATTTTTGATCCCAAAACATAAATTTAAAGGAAACATAGATCCCCAGCACCTCCATAAAGAGAAAAGAAGTAAGATTTTTCAGCGCTGGATTTGTCAGGAAAAAAGCATCTAAAAAAGTAAACTGCAATTTTTAAATATTAAGTCATGCAATGTGAATGAGATCATGTAACAAATATAAAGTAGGCATTATCCTAATTTGGCTACAAAAGTAGAAATACACTTTAAAAAGACCACCTCAACTACAGCATATCGATGCCACTTGCGAGACCAACAACTAAACTAGAATGGTTTCTCCAAGTGAATAGCAGGCTTGGACCACATGCAACTCCCCTATGCTGCCGGGTTGACCACTGTGAGCAGATAGCAGTGGCTGTTGAGCCCATACACTGACAGGCTGTTGGCGGCCACAGCTATTTGTGGTTGTTTGCACAGCCAGCGATTACATGTGGTGATCATGGCACAGTGTGTGTATCCAGCCCTGATCATAGCTGCAGCCTGCCATTACAGCGTATGGGCTTGGAGGACACTGCTATCCGCTCACACAGCCATGAAACCCAGCAGCAAGAATCAGTGACTAAATACCAGTGCAAATATAGACTAATGCAGGCCATACAAAAGTTGAATTCTGAAAGAACTTTACTTTGGAAAATTGTAACTAAGAATTTTCGTTGGAATTTGGCACCATTAGTGGGCCGAAGCATCAGCTGATTTTTGTGCAGCCATCAAATTTGAGTGATTGGGCATGTTGGAAATTTTTTGAAAATCAGGACGAATTTCTACTCATCGATGGAAGAATCATGTGAGAAATATAATTGAAGCAACAAAAGTTATTTTCTGTATCAACACGAGGTGAAATTGAAGGCTTGGTTGGTCGAATTTGAAATGGTGGTACCATCGGATTACAAAACGCAGGAAATTTCTGATTTTCTAAAGAAAATTTGCTCAGAATTCGACCCGTGTATGGCCTGCCTTAGGTCCCATTCATGCAGGACGGACTCAGTTTTGCTCAGCAGGAGATGCCTGCTGAGCAGAGCAATATGGCTGGATGACAGATCTGCATCTTCCCCGCCTATACAGAGCAGACATGGACAGGACACTCTGTTCTATAACGGTCGGATGGGCAGCACAGTGGCTAAATGGTTAGCACTTCCACCTGGCAGTACTAGGGTCGTTGGTTCGAATCCCAGCCACGGCACCACCTGCCTGGAGCTTGCATGTTCTCCCTGTGCCTGCGTGGGTTTCCTCCGGGTACTTCGGTTTCCTCCCACACTCCAAAGACATGCTGGTAGGTTAATTGGCTCCTGTCTAAATTGGCCCTAGTATGTGTATGTATGAATGTGAGTTAGGGACCTTAGATTGTACACCCCTTGAGGGTTAGGGACTGATGTGAATGTACAATATATATGTAAAGTGCAGAGTAAAGTACCTGAAATAAATGTAAAGGGACCAGCTCTCTGCTTACACCCGACTGCCCTCCGATCTGCCCTGAAGGAGGGGAATGGATCCTGTTCCATTTGATTTTAGCGGATCGGATTGGAGGTAGGCTAGTGCAAACGGACACAAGTCTCCATAGAGGAGAACGGAGGGTCTGATTGGGTCCACCTAAAAACCGGAGAGGCCGACCCAATCGGATCAATCTTGTGAATCTTTAGAGTTCAATACACAAACACAGTAAGATTCGCCAGCTCCAAACCCACACATCCAAGGCATCCTTTTTGTGTGATCATTACTTAGTGAGACTAGCCTAGAACAAAGTACATGACTAATAAAAGTAGAGATTCCCAAACTGCAGACTTGTTCCAGGGCAGTGACGCTGGGATCAGGATTATACCCCCAATGCATTGCTCTTTAAAAACAAAACTGCAATGGCTGTCCTCACATCTCTACCATGACACCATCGCTTTAATCAATAAGCCATGATTCTTTGAATTCGTTATAGGAAACTTGTTCTAGACCACCTCAGCACATTCATGCATATTATAATAATCACAGAGGCTCCGTGGTCACTAATTAACACTACATATGGCCTGAAGGTGATATTTAGTGAGAAGAGCTAACTAGGGCACCTCACACTGGGACAACAACAGATTACATGCACACGTCCTGCCTTCCTTCCTATGGGGCCGACTGATGCCAGGCTCAGCTTTTTGAAGCCAACCTTGCCATGCTCAGCAGTTTTCCTAAATATACCCCCCGGGCACCGCAGAATCTAAACATTCGGTTACATATTTGAAGATAAGCTCTAAGAGGACTCCCCCGAGGGTGCTGGAGTAATTAATCCTTATTAATTCTCGGCACTTCTACCTCCTGAAACATTAAAGACATGCAGAGACAACATGAAGGAACATGAAAGGCTCAGAGACCTGGCATACTCCGTCACACGGAACGCTGTGTTCCCTCACTGAGCACATCCAATGGTAAAGTACACAGCGGTGAAGAATGTTCCAGTGATGCCAATAATAATGAGTAAAATTTAAGGAAAACCGGGCTCACAGAAATACTTGGGATGCCATTGCTGAGTTCCTTTTAAATATAAAAGTTGCCTTGATTTCAATGGATTACAACAAGTATGACAACAAGTGAAGTCAAAGATAAAGTGTATGTAAACTCCATCAATGAAGTTCTTATATTGACTCCCTTTTGGTCTGTTAAATATACCATTAGAAGAATATTGTTATAAAAAAAAATATATTATTTACAGGTGTATCTCGGTTTATGAACGCCTCAGTTAATGTAATCTTCGGTTCAAATCCATTGAAAATAATACTTTGGTTTACAAATTTTTTTCACAATATGAATGTATGTCGGTGCCAGGGCGGACTGACAACTCATGGGGCCCCCGGGCAATAGACGATCATGGGGCCCCTGTGTCCTTGCCCAAACTCAAAAAAGCCTATGAAAAAGGTACCAGGGCATCTCATGGGGCCCCCTACTGACCCCGGGCCCTCGGCAGTGCCCAGAGTTTCCAAATGATCAGTCCGCCCCTGGTCGGTGCTGATTTTTAAATGCAATTGCTGGCTTTTTTTTTTCTTCACTATAGCTCACAGAATTAGCTGTCACTTTCCCCAGAGTTACTGTAAACAATACTTTGTTCCTTTAATCTGGGAAACAAACTAAAAGGAAACATTGTTTCTTTAAATCCTGGGGAAATAAACTAAAAGGAAACTCTTTTAGCTGGAGGGAAAGTGACAGCTGATTCTCGGAGCTATAGTGAAGGAAAAAAAAAAAGCCGGTAATTACATTTAAAAAAACCGGAACTGACCTATAGTGATATTAACTTTTCTTTACTTTTTTCTGACCTCCGGAACGGATTAATTAGTTTTCAATCATTCCTATAGGAAACTGCGTTTCGGTTTACGAATTTTTCGCAATATGAAATGTCCCAGAGAACGCACGTGCATACACTGCATCCAGAAAGTATTTACAGCGCTCAACTTTGCCACATTTTATTATGTTGCAGCCTTATTCCAAAACGGATTAAATTCATTTTTTTTGCCTCAACATTCTACAAACAATACCCCATAAAAACAACGTATTGAGCAAAGGCTGTAGATACTTATGTACATGTTTTTCATTTTTAATAAAAATTGCAAAGATTTCAGAACAAACTTCTAGTACGTTGTCATTATGGGGTATTGTTTGTAGAATGTTGAGAAAAAAAATAAAATTTAATCCATTTTGGAATAAGGCTGTAACATAACAAAATGTGCCAAAGTTAAGCGCTGTGAATACTTTCTGGATGCAGTGTATACAGTGAAGGAAATATTTGATCCCCTGCTGATTTTGAATGTTTGCCCACTCACAAAGAAATCATCAGTCTAAAAATCGAATGTTCGCTGTATTGTAACACAGAGACAGAATAGCAACAAAAAATTCAAAAGAAATGCATGTCTAACAAATGACGCACTGATTTGCATGTTCATGAGGGAAATAAGTATTTGATCCCCTTCACAAAACATGACTTAGTACTTGGTGGCAAATCCCTTGTTGGCAATCACAGAGGTCATACATTTTCTGTAGTTGGCCCCCAGGTTTGCACACATCTCAGGAGGGATTTTGGCCCGCTCCTCTTGGCAGATCCTCTACAAGTCATTAAGGTTTGGTGGCTGATTGGCAACTCGAACTTTCAGCTCCCTCCACAGATTTTCAATCTGATTAAGGTCTCGAGACTGGCTAGGCCACTCCAGGACCTTAATGTGCTTCTTCTTGAGCCACTCCTTTGTTGCCTTGGCCATGTGTTTTGGGTTATTGTCATGCTGGAACACCCATCCACGACCCATTTTCAATGCCCTGGCTGAGGGAAGAAGGTTCTCACCCAAGATTTGAAGGTACACTGCCCCGTCCATCGTCCCTTTGATGGGGCGCAGTTGTCCTGTCCCCTTAGCAGAAAAAACACCCCCAAAGCAGAATGTTTCCACCACCATGTTTGACAGTTGGGATGGTGTTCTTGGGGTCATAGGCAGCATTCCTCCTCCTCCAAACATGGCGAGTTTAGTTGATGCCAAAGAGCTCGATTTTGGTCTCATCTGACCACAACACTTTCAACCAGCCCTCCTCTACATCATTCAGATGTTCAGTGGCAAACTTCAGACGGACCTGTATATGTGCTTCCTTGAGCAGAGGGACCTTGCGGGCACTGCAGGATTTCAATCCTTGTTGGCGTAGTGTGTTACCAGTTTTCTTGGTGACTGTGGTCCCAGCTGCCAGGAGATCATTGACAAGATCCTCACGTGTAGTTCTGGGGTGATTCCTCACTGTTCTCATCATCATTGACACTCCACGAGGTGAGATCTTGCATGATGCACCAGACCTAGGGAGACTGACAGTTGTTTTGTGTTTCTTCCATTTGCGAATGATTGCATCAACTGTTGTCACCTTCTCACCAAGCTGCTTGGCGATAGTTTGGTAGCCCAGTCCAGCCTTGAGTAGGTCTACAATCTTGTCCCTGACATCCTTGGACAACTCTTTGGTCTTTGCCATG